TTTTAATTTTTATTCAGTTCTCAAAACCACTAATCCAACAAGTCTCAATATGTCTCTTAGAACATGTTTTATTCAATGTTTAAGACCAATCTATCACATTTTAAGTATTCCTTTGTTAAAATTATTTTATGCCACATAGGGTCATAATATAGCTCTTATAATGGTCACAGTTCTCTTACTGTTCTAAATGTGTCAGTGTTTGGCATGTTGAGTAGCTTTTACAGGCCAGCCAGGGAACCTGATTACCATTTAAACGATTGCTATTTCTTTGGCCAGTGTGTTTCATTATATCCTTCAAATGACAATAGGATGGGAGGACCTGTCTTTGCGTTAAGGGAGGAAACTGAGAGTCTGAGTTGGAGAGAGCTGAATTGGAGGGTTTATAATAATGTAGAGGCAGAATTGCTCACTCTGGCTCTTGGGGCTTCCTCTTTCTCCCCTTTCCTCTCTCAGAAGGACATGTGGTGTCATCAGGGACATGAACTTCACCTCCCATTTGTAGTAGTTATCTGTAGCTACATAGCAATCTAGCACAAACTTAACAGCTTAATCAATACACAGAATTATCTCACAGTTTCTAAGTCATTCTGGGAATGACTTAGCTAGGTATTTAATGAGGCCACAGTCAAAGCATCACCTATGGCTGCTGTCTTATCTGAGGCTGGGTAGGAGGAGGATTTGCTCCCAAGCCTGCGTGATTGGCAGAATTCAGTTTCTCATGGGCTCTCTGACTAGGGCGTTGGTTTCTTGCTGTCAGCTGGAGATTGCCCTCATGAGGCTTTTTCAATAGGCATCCCACAAAATGGCAGCCTACGCTTTCAAAACCAGCAAGAGAGAAACTTGTAGCAGAGTAGACATTATAGTCTTGTGTAATGTACCCACATACATTCTGTGATTTTTGCCTTACTCTATTGCCACAAGCAAGTCCAAAACCTGCCTCCAAAGGGGAAGGGAATTATGCAAGGCCTAGATAAGAAGTGACAGAGATCAAGGGGGCCACCTTAGAGTCTGACACATCTGAGACTGGTCAGTAACATGGCTTCTCTTTATCCTTACTCTCCTCTCTGTCCATTCACCTAATTAACTAGCAGTATGTTTCTCATCCCTTCTGCTTTTTTCTTTCCTTCTGATCTACTGAGAATTCAAAAGCCCTGGTGGCTTTTCCTCCTCTTCTTTACTGTTGAAATGCAGTGAAAAAATAGCAGGAAACTCTGCCTTAGGAGGCAGCTCTCATGCTGCTGGAGCCCTTCCTTGTCAATAGGCATTTTGTGTATGTGAAGCATTCTCCTCTAGACAGGTGTTTCTACATCATAGCATGGCCTCAATAAAAGACCAAAATGAGGTCTTCTCAGTTTTTGTGTCTTCTGATTACTAGTCTCTTTAAGGAACCACTGAATTATAAAACCGGTTCACTTTCACCATGCCATCCTTTTAGGATGTCTTGCTAAAGGTCTGTTGGTAAATTTTAGGTTAGAATCATTAGCAGTTTTGTGGCTTTTACTCTTTTGCCCCAGTAACTCTTGTGTTATCTTCCTATTTTCTTCAGTCATCAGTAGGGTGTTGTTTTTTTGACTTTTTTACAGCCTTCTTCTGGCCTGTGTCTTAGTTAGTCTTTAGCCATTGTTCCTCCTCTTTGCCAGGGACATAGTATAGTATAGTGATTAAGAACAAGGCCTACAGCTAGACAGTGTGGGCTTGAATTTCAGCTTCTGCCATTTATTAGCTAATTAATCTTGAGTAAGGTGCTCAGTTTTATTTTTATGTGGCTGGTGTTAACATTTCTGAATTTTCCACTGGCCAAGAAGCCTCTGAATACTGCTGCCACTCTCATTTTGCTCCCAAGATACATGCGCAGATGTAAGAGCAGACAATTTGCCCTTTATTACTGCATGAAATATTACCCCAAGCCCTTCCATGGTCTCCTAGTGAAGTGGGCTAGAACATTGTTGAGTATATTGGGTTACCTCTTTTTTTGTGGCTTCACATTAGTACTTGTATTACCCCCAAAGGATGAAGATAGTGTAGTTTTTTCAATGGCACGACATTTAATGAGCACTTACTGTTTGCCATGAGCTTTATTAAATTGTATATAAACGATATGTCTTTTAACCCATATAACAACATCTAGTTATTGTACTGATATTGCTCCCATTCTATAGATAAGGAAACAGAGGCTTACAGAAATTAGACAACATGCTCAAGGTCTTCAGAGCTTAGTTGTAGAATATAGTTCTATATGACAGCAAAGCATGTTCCTTTAATGACCACAGGGCACTGTCTCCCATAGAGGAAGCCCAAATTCTTCTTAGTGAACTAACTCATTTGGAGAAAGAGGCTAACAATCAAACAACTGTGTCTCATGGCCACAAGAACTTTTCCTCAACTTCTCCAGCCTTATTTTAACATTAGCTCTTGAATGCTCTTGATTTTGATGCCAGCCAGTCTTCTTCCACCCCAGGGGGAGCAGGCTCGGCTTTGCCCTAGAGTAAAAAGTGAATGTTCAAAAGGTAGTGTATTTGTTTTAGCCAGGTTTTCACATGGCTGTTGTGGAATCTTAACATTGTATGTGAAGCATGATTAGGAAGTGTTGGGCTTGTAACAATCACAGCCAGGGTTCATACATCCAGATTGTTCTCTTTAAGGGCATCCGCTGAACTAATTGCATATATTTCAGTGATGCTGCCAGTGTTCTGGATTATTTTAAATGAACTTTATCTCAATCACCTTTTAACCTCTTCCCCACTTCCAGTGCTCAGCACAGTGTCTTCCACCAAATGGGTAGTTCAGTACAGTTGGTTGTTGAAGTTGCTTGTAATTCTTTTGAATAACCACAGGTGCTAAATTATCATCTTTGAGGATGAATTTGATTCTCTGAAGTAATCTTTGAAAATATTTTCTATTATAGCAAATAAAGTGGTTTTTGTTAAAATCAGGGAAAACTAAACTGTAATGACACATGTGTTCTTGTGACTATTGCACACTGGTTCTGAAGGTAAAAGAGTACATATTCTGAGTAGTCAGCATTACTGGAGTGAGTCCCAAAGACAGTGACTTGGAAGGGGTCAAGGAGTACTGTTTTTCAACATTAAGTTCTGGCACTTCTGTTTTAAAGTTGGTATGTGTTCACCTGGTGAATCTTTTTTTTTTTTTTTTAAACATAACTGAGCCTTAGAAGGAGTTAATTACTTGGCAGAGATCACACTGCTATTAAACAGCACAGCTGGGGTTCAAACCTGTTTATTTTCAACCTATGTAAAACCTTACTATGTTTCTCATGCTTTTAAAGGGTCTCATGTCAGTGGCTAGGCATATAAAGCCATAGCTAGCCAATGAATTTGTTCCTCTCAGTGTTGGGTATAATCTATAGATCTTTGGCTCTTCAGTTCTTCCTTACTATTTTTATTGATGCTGGCAAGTTCTTTCTTTATTACTAGCAAAGCTTTCTATATTTATTTGGTGTTTGTTCCATCTCCTCCTTTCTTAATATCCTTACCACTGCCCTATCCCTTTATGGTTTGGATAACTTAAGGTTCTGGTCTATTGTTCAGGTAACTGAGGTGATGCTGCCTCTCATGGTACCTCAGTGCATGCATGGAGCCATGTCACAATTATTAATCTCACCTCAGAATTAACATTGAGGCTTCAGGTGATGAAAGTTAACTTAGGTTCCTGTTTTATCAATGTCATCTTCTTGGAGCCACATGCTTATCACATAATATGAGCAATAGTTGCATTCTACCTGGAAAAGTCAGGTATTTTTATCTGGGACTCTTCTCTGGAGGGAAAGAAAGCAAAAAGTTCTATTCCCAGGTTGTTTATTCTAAAATGCTAAGAAATGGAAAAACAAAAGTAAACACATTGTTCTGAATGACTTTCTTGGAAAAAGAAAGGCCCTTTGTTGGGCATATTTTATTATTCTGTGAATTATATGAATCTCCATTATTTGTTGAATTGGACATATGGACAGCGTAGCAATTCTGATAATTAAGCATGTGGTATCCATAGTTCTGGTATAATGCCTTTGTTGGATCAAAGCATGCATGATTTTGACAGATTATGACTTTTATTAAATCCTCATTACCACACATTATTGTAAGAGACATATGATCTTCTAGAGATGAAGAAAATGAGGCTGGGAAAAGATGAATGGACTTTCGTGAGGTCACATGGCTAGTAAGTGTTAGGATTTTGGACCACAGTTTTTTATCTGTGTGTAGTGCCTTTTGATAGATGGTGGTGGTTTGGGTTGCTTGATTACACAACTTTACCATACTGTAAGTTTGAAACAGTTGGAGAAATAGAGCAAGGATTGACATGGGAATCAACAGAACCAGTAGCTTAATTGCTGTTAAAGCAGGATTGGAGGGCCCAAAAGTATTAGTTTCCTCCTTTGAAACTAAAACATAGATTTGACCCCCGCAACCCTGACTTAACCCTGCAGTAGCACCCAGGGAGAAGCTAGACCAGGGAGAGCTGACCGACCCACCCTCTCGGAAGTAGGCACCATTGCCTTGCCTACTGAGGAGATTAGCTGGCTCCAGGTGTGGGAGAGGACTGAAGGGAGGCCTTGGTTGCCTGGCTCAGAGCAAGGCCAGGAAATCAGTTGGTGCCTCATCCAGTTCTTTCAGGCAAATTAATCTTTCACTTTTGAGGAGAGGTAGGAAGGGGTTGGGGAAGAGAGATGGAGAGAGAAACATGGGTTACTCTAATACTGTTGCGTCCTAGGAAACAGACTAGGTATCTCTTCCTGAAAACAAAATGGAGGGCAAAATTTTAAGAGTTCACCACCTGAGTCCTTCATAGTGGAAATACTGCTCTTAAAGTTGTTTTCTCTTAAGGTGATTTTGTGTATTGTTATTTTCTCTTTCCTTTTTGTTTTTGGTAAAAAAGAGAAGTGATGACTGTAATTTTCTATGTGTTTTGGTTGTAAAAAGGAGACTATTGAAAATCCAGAAATGGCCTTTCTGAGACATATAACTAATTATTTCTTCTTATAACAGGTAATGGAACTGTACTGGAACAATGGGAAAAGCTGGTAGCTTATAGGAAGCCAAGATGACAAGAATGGTTTTAAATAATCCGTAAGTTAATGTTTGTTAGCCTTTTGGAATTCTTTTAACTACTGGGTAAATTTTCTTTAAGGAACCATGGTAAAAGGATAGCATAGTCAAATAACTTGAGAGCAAAAGAAAAACTATTTTATAAAATAAGTATCCAAACACTTCAAACAATTGATGCTAACTCAATTGTCTGATTTTTGCATAATTCTTTCTTAACAGAGTATGTCATTTTGAGTATGTCAATTTGGTGGACAGGGCATAAGTATTTGAAGAATTAAAAGAGAATTCCCTGCACATGGTGAGAATTTAAGCTTGGAATAACCCTTCTGATATGCAGATATTTTTGGTCCTAGTGGTTTCCTTATGCTCCATTTCTCAGGTATTTTTGTGGGTATATTTTGAAGTAAATATGAATGAATTTGGTGAATATAATTAAATTGAGTTCTTTATCTTCATATTCTCCATATCCTTCTTCATGTATGCCACTTTTACATACATCAGAGGCTATTACTAATGTTTGCTAATTATCTTACAGTTACATGTGGTTGATTTTGGTTACATTATGATAATAATAATGTTAGTATGTGGGGTAGCTTAGTGGAAAGATCATATATTTTTAAGTCAGACAATCCTGGGCCTGACTCTAGCTCTTGTGCCTTTTAGTAGTTACCCAACCTCTCAGAACCTCAGTTGACTCATCTGTATGTGGAATTTGATAATATCTCTCATAAAATGAAAGACTGTGGAAAGTACTTTGTGCTTCGACTAGACATTATAGTTACACTTAGTTACTGGCACAATAAATCATAATGACTTTTCTTCCTTACATTTGTATCATGATTTTTAACTTACAGGCCTTTATTCTGACCCAAAAGATTGGTCAGCTCGTGTTCCTTAGCTGTTGCCAAGCCATGGTGATTAACATTATAGGTAGTGTCTGTGGATCAATGTTAACAAGCTGACAATGTCAGAAAGAGGGGTTGTCATGTTTGCAGTTTTCCGTGGAGTAAATACCCCTTCCGTGCTTGATTTTAAACTGCCAGAGAAAGTCCCTGAAAGCTGGGTTGGGAAGTGTTATGCAGTAGCACAGCATTAAATACTTTTCTACGAACCAGAGACAGTAGTTGCAAATCACCTCAAGAGCATGGTTAATGGCAAAATAATTAGGAAGTGATGAGTTTTGAGTACTTATTACCTTTGTTTTTAGTATGATTTATTTTAATTTTATTTATATAATTTAACTTTTAATGCTGTTTATCAACCAGCTTGCTAAAAATCCTGAGAATTTAACAATTGGTTTTAGTGGACTGGTATAAGGTGACTCTAACACACCACTAATTGTAGATTTCCTGTTGTGAAGACATTTCTAAGCCACAATTCTTTAATTACTTGTCTCAGCCCTGGTGCTAAGAGTTTCGTTTGATGAATAAAAACAAGGTTTGGTTTTGAGTCAATGCTTGCTATAACCTAAGTCGTCATGCTTATATTGCTTCTGGAATTGAAAATAGATGCCAAAACCAATTTAGAATTTAGACAAGTTTCTTAACAAGTTTCTTGTTGTCTTAGCTTCATAACGGACTCCTGGCATCGCTTGCCTATTCTGGCTGTTAAACTGAACTCCAAGTGCTAATACTTGGCAATCAGTCAGTCTGCTCACTGCCTATTGAATTTTCTTCTCTCCTTTCCCCATATTCCTTCAAATCTTAAATTCCTTCAGGTAGTGGCACTGCAGAGACAAGCAGTCAGGATTCCTCCCAACTAAGCATTGCATACAGCTTTGCTTTATTCAAAAATTAGGTTTTAATGGAAATCAAATTGCCTCTAGGGAGAGAGAAAAAACAAAACAAAACCTGGGCAGTTTAAAGTTCGCCTTGGCTTGATTAAAACGTTAGAGAGTGAAATGGAGGAAAAAAAGGAAACTGGATCAGACATCTCAGTGTTTCTTCTAGAAGCAACTTCTTCAGTTTTCTAACTTGCTCTTTAGAAGGGAACAATTGAACCCTGAAATTGCTAAGTAACAGCTAAGATTTTGGTGGTTGGTTTTGCTTTAAATCTCACCCACCTAGTTCCCAAAACACATTCTTTATTGAATCTTACAAAAATGCTGTGGATATTTAAAAACATTTGCTTGTGTCAATTCTTTGAATCAGACTTACATAATTGTAAAACATTAATTTCCCTGATTTCCTCTTAAAACAAAAGGTATTTATAGTTCCCACTGAGTCGGGGATGGACTTGGATTATTGCAAAAGTAATCTGTGTTCATTTCAAGAGGAAGCTCATGATTAAAATCTGAGAAACTTGCTTTTAGATTATGAAATAATGACCTTTGGCTTAAGTTAAATAAGTGTGTCTTTGGTAGTTTGAAAGCAAACATGGAAAAATACAGAAATTTTATTATAGATATAACATTCTGATTTATATTATCATCTCTCTTACCAGAATGGGCCTTATGTTGTTTCCAAACATCCCTTGTATAGATGAATTTTTTATTAGAGAGCTGCTAGGTGTATAGTCTTTAGGTGTGTAAATTTTATAGCCTTGCATTATGTTCATATCAGTAAACTTAGTGGTTTACTTTAGATACCTGGGACTCCTGGGTTTTGACAATAAATTTCAGTACAAATAAGATAGACTTATTGCCCTTTATGAGTTGATAATCAAACCTGAAAAAAGAAAACTATAATTTTAAACTGAATGTGGTAGGTATTATAAAATGCTCAGAAAACAGAAGAGAAAGAGAAATTACCTGGTGGCAAGAGGAGTGGGCTTGATCAGGGAGGATTTCAGGAGCAGATGATATGTGGATTAGATATTTAATGATGAATGCCTTTTTATCAAGTACCTTTTATGAAATTATAAAAGTTAACATTGCTAATTAGAAAGAACTTTAGAAATGCAGAAACTGTTAAGTAAAAAACTCATCACTATCCAGTGATAATGTTAACAATTAACTTTTTAAAAAATATTCTGTCATATTTTTCTATGCATAGATTAGATACATGCTTTATTTTTGCTCTTACATGGGGCTAGTTATTACTATTGTTTTGAAATCTGCTTCAGTTGACAATATATTAAGATGATGCCACATCAATAAATATACATATACATCGTTGTTGTTGATACACAGCATTCCATGTGTACATAGTCTATAAGGTTTCCTGTTACTGGACATTTTTGTTTTCAACTTTTTATTTTTGTAAAGTGTGCTGTAATGAACATCTTTATGAACATTATGGTGTACTCATTCAGTTATCTGGATGAGACCTTTGAACAGAGTTAGGAGCAGTGCTTAGGGGACACTAGGTAGAAGGAACAGTTTGGGCAGAGAAAGTACTGGAAGCAGTTTGGGCAGAGAAAGTACTGGAAGATCACGTTTTGGGAAAAGCCTAGAATGAATGAAAGGAGAGTACTGCTAATTAGGGCTAGAAAAAGAAAATAGAGAGTCTTTGATACCAAGCCTTTAATTTATTCTTAGTTGGGCGTCATGTTAGAATCTATGTTGTACTTTAAATGAATGTTTCTGAATATCTTCAATTGTTCTTTATTTTTCTTATTTGAGGAAGAAATAAAACAGTTCCAAATGCTCAAGAAATAATAGCTCTTTTAAAATTCTTGAGAGATTTAAGAAACTAACGAGAACATTATCAAGTAATTGAAGTCATGGGAAAAGTGTGTGTGTGTTGTGTGTGTGTAGAAAAAACTGTCTTGGAGTAGAGGTTTTTAAAAATGAAGGAAAGTTCATTAATTTATTTTCTACACTTAATGATATTTAACAAATTTTTTATAATTAAAATTTAAGGACAATTTAGAAAAGTGAGTTTGGGGACACATCATAATTTAATAATAATACCTTATATTTACTGAGTTGCTTAATGACAAGACTGTGTTCTAAGAAATGTGTACTTAGACAATTTTGTTGTGTCAACATGATAGAGTATACTTACACAAGTCTAGATGGTGTAGCCTACTACAAACCTAGGCTTATAGTATAGCTCGCTGCTCCTAGGCTGCTGCAAACCTGTATATCGTGTTGCTCTACTGAATACTGTAGGCAGTTGTAACAAAATGATAAGTATTTGCGTATCTAAACATAGAAAAGGTACAGGAAAAATCTTATAGGACCACTGTCTTTTGTGTGTCACTTGTTGAGCAAAACGTTGTTATGCAGTGCATGACTATACATGTCTGTGCTTGTTAGTTTTAAATAATTTATAATGGTTCAACTTAATGATTTTTCACTTTATGCTGGTGCAAAAGTGATACACATTCAGTAGAAACCATACTTCAGGTACCCATACAGACGTTTTATTTTAATTTTCAACAGTATTCAATAAGTTAAATACAATATTCAATAGTTTAATAAACAGGCTTTTTGTTGGATTATTTTACCCAACTGTGGGCTAATGTAAGTGTTCTGAGCATGTTTAAGGTGGGCTTAGCTAAGCTATGCTGTTAAGTATGTTAGGTGTAGTAAATGCATTTTTGATGACGGGCTTATCAGGATGTAACCTCGTTCTAAATTGGGGAGCCTCTGTATGTCATTGTACTTAGTCTCTTAACAGCCTTCGTAGGAAGAGTCTAGGATTTTCTGCATTTCGAAGGTGATTGAAAGGCTGACTTCCCTAAGGTGGGTGAGAGAGCACCAGATTTGGTGTTGTAGTTCAGGCACTGCTGAGGCCTTGGAACATTGCTAGGATAGTTGTAAAGATAATGAGACAGTATCTGAAAGATTATGAGAACAGCATAAAATACTACAGAAATAGAGGGACTGCTTTTTGTAACAGGACACCTTCTATCATTACAGGAGGGAAGAAAGCTCAGCTGTAGCTGTTTTCCATTCTTTTCGTGGTAGCTCATATTATTGTCAGAACATTTGCTGCTCCTTTCTACCCACCTTCCATCCCTGTGAAAGGATTATACTTTCCCACTCTACAGAAGGCTGATGCCCCATGGCTAGCTTGGCCAAATAAATCCTAGAGGATTTATTTTGGCCAGTGAAATGTCAGTGACAATTATTT